TTGGTATTTTTCTGCTTTTCTCTCTTTCATAATTTTTTTCAACAATCTATCATCTAACTCTCAGCATTTTTTTATTCTTAATATTTTATTAACTATGAAAAATTAATTCGTCGCCATGTAAATTGCTTAAACTAGCGAAAATTTTTGACTGAGTAATTTTCACTAGCACAAAAAGTAGTGCAAAATTGCGGTAGTAATAAATTTTCTGCTAAAAAATTGTGAAAATTAAACCTGGAATTACTAGTGATTGAGCTTGAATATAGATATTTGTTTCAAAATTTTTTTATTCATAGTTTATTATTACTCTTACACTATTAGTATGCCATAATAGCAAGCAAAATATCCTTATGTACAATAATTTCATCTACTCTTTTATTTCGCGCTTATTTACCTTATCCTAAATTCCAAATAAAATATATCACGTACGCTCGCATCAAAAATCAAATGCTAAGCATAGACTTGTCCTACTTTCAAATCATCCATTCTTCAACTTCTGCTTTATTTACTTTTACAAGTTTGCTTTCTTTTAATTTTGTATGTAAATAAACAGCTGAATACAACATAATGCACTTCATCATTATCAACGATCATAAAGACTATCTTTTTGTTCTCAAAACAACATCCACTTATATTTCATGTACTATAGTTTCTTTTTCCTAACTGAGGATCAATGAACACTTTTATCACTTTTCCATATGACTGAGAGATGAGCAAGATTTATCAGCTCATTAGGTGATAACTTTGATTGTTGCCTGCTATTATGCACTCTTTAAAACTAGATTACCATCTGCAATTTACCATTTGAAATTAACAAAAAGCAGAAATTTTCATTACTAAGTTTTATATCACTTTTTATATGCTAACTCTAAAAGTAAGGATGTAAATGATCATATTTTACGAATTTGAGATCTTACTTACACTACAATCACTACAGTAATACCAAAATTAATATAATTCAAATAATACTACTCAGAGTTATTTGCTACAATTCAGAATCACTCGCTCAAAAATATATATGTAGATAATATATATGTACAGAGGTGGGCATGTACGCAGTTACTGCAATAATGTCCATATCTTATTTTTCCTTCTAAATCATACTTTTTGTTTAATATCACTCCTTTCTTGAATTATTATAGAATATATTTAAAAAATCACCTAACAGAATCAAAATACCTGAATATTTTTCTACAGATTTTTTATTCTTTTTTTGAATTATATTAATAGAAAGAGTGTAAATTTTACTAATACCACAGCACCTAGCTCATAATTTTGCAAACTGTTATAAGAACAACAAATTTAAAGAAAAATATTCAAATATTTTAATTCTATTAGGTGATTCATCTATCTTTATGCTTCAATGAATGATTTCAACTATTTAAATTTGATACATTTGAGATTGATGTGATGTTACTAATGATGTGGTTGTAATTTACAGCACTACTTTCATAACTTTTACTCGCTTCTCAAGTCATGAAGTGAAATGACCATATTTTACAGATAGGTAAGCAAAATTATAGAAACATAAAATATGACAAAAGAATTTCCGGAAAATAAAACTGAAGGAAAGGAAAAGGAGCAGTGCTCATTATGGTACGTAACTATGAATGATAACTGAAGGAAAGAACAATAAACCAGAAATTTTGATAACAACAAAAGAAGTTAGCGAAAGAATTAATTAGTGAATGCTGCTAAACAATATCCAGTGCCAACTGTAGAAGTAAATTACATACACTACAGTGAGTGCGTCTGTTCCAAATCCAGTGAGAAAATTTGGAATACGTTTAAAGAAACAAAAAGAAACAAAACAATTATTTACAACACCTAAAGAAGTACAATATATGTGACCTTTAGTTAATATAATGAAAAAGCATACAGGATATATTAAAAATTTTGCAAAATAAAAACTTTTTATTTGAGCATTTGAAATCTTTTTGATCATTTGAGAATCCAAATCCTCAAATTTACGAAGAATGTTTGAAAGCAAAAGGTTTTATAACTTCTAGACTAATTTTCTTATTTGTTATATCATAGTTGCATAATACTAAACCAATATGTGCTTTGCTTATGAAAAATCGAAAATCGTGAGATTTTACACACTATAATACTGGCCGATTGTAGAAGCAACTCCAATTTTCAGTTGACAAATCAGTATCTAGATTTAAAACTTAATATCAGAGAATGAACAATTCGAAGCTACAGAATTTTCAGAAATGATGTCAACTGGAATAACGCAGTGTGGATTCCCAAATAAATACTCAAATAAAAAATTTTCAGATATTTCCAAATACGGAATACAGTCGAATTTTAGATACAAGCTATGAAAATCAAGAGTGTAATCAAGCCGCTGGAAACGATTAATATCGACAGTCAGTAAGAATAAAAAGAATAACCAATGATTAGTAATTTCATCAAAATAACCATATAGTGTTAATACAAGATCAGTTAACGACACACGATAATTAAATGCTAAAATCTCGCTATATGATTTTGAAATCCAACAACGCTTAAAAATTTGTCGCAACATTTAATGGCTGCGACATAAGTTGCTGTCTGTAAAAGATGTTTCAAAGATCAACTCATCATAAATACAACTGAGAGTTGAATACAAATTTTCGAGCTTTCCTAGAAAATGTTCTTGGAAAATTTAGATTAATATTAAGATTAGCACATATCCATAACTGTATAAATATTTTTAATACTTGTTTATAAATCAAACGAGAGAAATTATTAACAAGATATTTCATACAGCTTCTTCTACAATAAATGCTAATTTTGATGTCATGTATTCATCAAAAACTTTGTCGACAGTTTTATTTGTATAAAATTGAACAATGGAACAAAAAAAATACCTGATTAGAAGGACATGGGCAAGCATGCATTATTCGCAAACTTATGTTCTTCATGAAACATCGCAAATACCACCACAAACAAACGTGCATTGCTCGAATTTATTAAAACAGATTAGCGGAAAGCACAAAAATGACTAAAATTAAGAGTAATTTTAGTATCATTTTTATGCAAAAGTTTAAGCTTGCAAAAAAACTTGTTTTTAGCGTTTTCCATGCAAAACTAAAAAATACACAAAAAATTACTTGCCGCGGTGCCTGACATATATATGTAAGCGAATGATTTCTTCCACTTTGCGATATTTTTGATGGATAAAAAGTTACCAAAAGCAGCTCCCTGCACTTTCCTTGACCACATTTTTTGATTCAAAAACCAGCAAGAAAGAAATATGATAAAAAGCGCATCGAATTTCCATTCCTGACGACAAAGACAAAAAAGATAGAAGGTTTAGTGCTTATATGAGCTAGCATGCACAAAAGCTATTTTTACAAACATTGACCTGTTTGAAGCTTATAATAAAATTAAAGCAGTAAAATAAAAGAGCAAATGGGCAAAATTATTGGCTCACAAAATCTGAATTATTTTAACATTTTGTAAAATAATGTCGTGATGGGAATTACAGTGAGTCAATACTGGTGCGCGAATCAACGAATTTTGCATCCTAATCCCAACTAAATTTTTTAGCGCCATAAAATGTAAAAGCTAAATATTTAACAAGGAATCTGTAGGATGAAAGTGAGGTGCGAAAACAAACAAGGTTTTGACCACAATATGGAACTTTTTCAGCATTATTTTTAGCAGTGAAAAAGTAGTTAATAGGAAAAGAGGCAAAACATGCTTGTAATTTTTAAAACTAACACGAGCGAAAGATAAGAATAAATTTCGCATGACAAAAAATTTCTTGGAGTTTTTTTCAAAATTTAAGTTGACATAAAAGAATGATTTTGATCAGAATTAATCAAATTTCTACTATCTGAATATAACGTGACAAGAAAATACAGTTCTAAAGAAATTCTCAGAAAAAATTAGAATCAATCTTGGTATTATACGAAACAGTACTTCGTCTGATCAGCAAACGCTGCTGCATGATAAGAATGGAAGCCAAAATATAAAGAGTGAAGATGAACAAATGATGCACACAATTTTTCTTAAACATAAATTAGCATAATGATTCGCAGTTGCATAAATTCTTGCAGGCATATCATTTCGTCTACAATATCACAAGAAATAATGAAGCTGAATGCATAATGTGTGCCTCCCACGTTCACAAACCCACTCATTTTTTTTGTTTCATCGAAATGAATCTGATAAAATTCTAATGAATTTTTTTCTTCTATTATATGTTGGACTACATTACAACAAACATTACTGCTGTATGTAACTTTAAATATCATTATTCCGTGTTACCAAGTTCACCTTATTTCTATCAGTAAGGACTTATCAACCAGTAAGTTGAAATTTTGATATAATCTTCTGCTTACTATTCTTTACAATGATTTAAGACGAAAATAAAAAACAGAAAAAATTTATATTATTAAAAATTTACGGTCAAAATTTGCTAAATGATGAAGAAAAGTAAACGACTACCATGAAAAATAAAACAAGAAGCAATTGTTTAGTTAAGAAACAAATCATGATAAAAAATCAAGGAAATATGGCACTAACTTCTGAGTCTTGAAATTAAGCGGGCAAATTTTACTTTATAAAACCTAAAAAACCACTTCAATCACAAATTATTGGTTTCAACTGTAATCCACTTATACTTGATTTAATTACTTTGCATGAAAAATTCAACTGTTGTAATGTAATACTTAATACCTTTTTCATCGGATCCCTATCAAAATAGACAAATTGTTTTATTTTATTTGCGATCGAAAAATTTCCAAAGAACCAATGGAACAGAGGAATTGTAAAATTCAGAGACGTACTTTATAAGTGTAAGATATTTACCAATATAATCTTAGAAACAAAAACAAAAAAAGAAATAAGACATACACTACTGTAGGAAGAAATTGTCCAATATTACTCTTTTAATTTTTATTAGTAAAATTAATTCAATAATTAAAAATAACTTTACACATATTAGTGAATGTCATCATAAACACCATCCTGTTCTACTACTACGCCAATTTAAAAGTCAATTTAGACAGCTAATTCACTGAGATCAATGAATATTTGATAGTTTTATAACTGTCATTAACATCCATGTTTTCTGCCTTGTTTAAATTATTTTGAGTGGAATTCTCATTTGCAATACAACAGTGAACTGATAACTTTGAAATTACAGTACTGTAACTAATAATACTAAACTAGATACAGATGTCTCTGCGAGAAAATAAGCAAGAATTAAATAAGTTGCCATGTAGAAACATTATGATGGCATGTTTTCAAACTTTTTCATAATTCTTTCACAAACCTGATTTCCATCAAAAAAGAACAGTAAGCTTTAAGAATAGTAAATTTGTAGAAATTATATATGAAGCTTTTATTCTGTACAATGAAGTAGCAATCAAAGGCATTTTTGTAAGTATTCCAATAATACAAATATAGTTTTCTATATATCTTATTCTGATCTAATCAATGTTCATTGAAGGCTATTTAGGAGTGTTATAATAAAGAAATTCACCAGCTGACCTGGTTACTGATTCTTGCGTATGTGATTCTTCATTTACTCGACGCATCAAGCGCTTTCGATAGCCAGGCTGCGTTGTATCCACTTTGCAACGTTCTGTTGCAACGTTATCTTTACTTTCCATTGCAATGATTATTAAGTTGTATTCCAAAAGAATTTATATTATTCAGAAGTGCCTATAGTAGTAGATAAATGCGAATTATTTCGCCCCTTGAAGAGGCTAACTGCAGTAAACACACGAGGTAAATCAGTCCAAACAAAGAGCCCCGGTGATGACCTCGTCTGGCTTTTTTCCTATTTCTTTATTAATACATCGTTCTAAAAATGATCCTGTTAAAGCAAACAAAACAAAACGTAAATTATGCATATCACTAATTATTGTACATTAATCAGCATTACACTTATCTTGAAGTGAATATTTCTTTACTTAAACAATGATATATATCATTACAGAAAATTATGAATTGCACACCAATAAAAGGATGGGGATGTGAAGTACATAGACGACACATTCTAGATGCGAACAAAAGCAGGTCAGATTTTAACTTATACAAAAAACTCTGCCATTCACTTAAACATATCAACATGTCTATACTCACATACGTGTACTATTCTCAGATATATTCACTCACTAACGAATACATACGCAGCCACAAATACACATGCTAACAACCGCATACACATTGCTAGTTCAGTTCATTTCATGTCCCACTTTTTATAAATATACAAAACAGTTTACAAGTTTCTGCAGTGAATTTGGGGCATTAAAATTATTACTCAAATCAATCTTCTATGATATAAATTATAATATTAGTTAGGCCACTTATAGCTCTAGAAAAACCTGAACAGACCTAAAAGTAGACGACGACAAGAGAGAAAATGATGCAAAGAGAAGGCCATTATTAACAGAGGTCACCGATATCGACCCATTACATAAAGAAATAGTGATGAAGGCAGTCAAAAAAAAAATTGCCAAATTATGCTTGCATTTAACTTGACAAATTTTAACTAAGTTAATCATCAAATGCAAACCTTAGGTAATATGCAATAATGGACCAGTTGAGTAGACCAATATTAATTATGCTTTCCATATTGCACAGTTAAAATAATTACAGTGATTTGATCCAGTCAAGCAAGACAGCAAAAAAAACTGTCTCAACTTATTTGTACACACATATATCATTCGAAAGTATACACAGCACACACACGCACACACACGTACACATACACATACACATACACACACACGCACACGCACACTCACACTCATACTCACACTCATACTCACACTCATACTCACACTCATACTCATACTCATACTCATACACTCACACTCACACTCACAATCACAGTCACAGTCACACTAACACTAACAATTACATTTACATTTACATTTCCAACACTAACGACAAGGAGAAAGAGGGTGCAGGAAAAAAGAGGAATTGCAGTGGTATAATATATATGCTTTAGTTTTTCACTGTTGCTCTTTTGTAGTAAGAGAGTCGTAGCTGTAATTGGACAGATTTAGCAAATTGCTTACTGCTAAGAAGACGAGAATACGGCCGGCAACAAATGATAGTCTCTGCTTTTCTGCTATATTTTTCTAGATGCATCCGGCATAAATTCCCCGGGCTATCTCCCGGAAGTTTTGGAAAGGAGAACAACTGATATACAATCAATCAGAAGAAACTCTTCCTCCAACCTCCTGCCTCTATTATAAGAGACATTGATGAAAAAGGGCTAGACAAACCCTACGATTCATTTCAAAACCTGTGTATTCAATACAGCACTATATCTGATAAAATTCTTCAATAATTGAATGAAATTTGATGAAAATGTGTAGAGACTATTTTTGAAATCAACACTACGTAGTAGTAATAAATTTTAGATGATACTAAGTTTTTTTGTGGCATTTTGAAAAATGACTAAAATTGCTGAGAAGACTGATCTAACACATGAGAGATAGAATAAGAAATCTGTAATATGGCGAAATTTTTGTTCTCGAGAATTCGTTTCAAAATTCTCACTTCTCACTTCTCTTCCTTCATCACCTCGAAAAATTCATTTTGCTTGCTTACTCTTCACTAGAGAGAGGTTAGTTTGTTGCTTGAAAAAAATTTCAGACATAGATGAATAAATTGATTGACTGATTTGAAACAGATATATATTTCAAATATATATCTGTTTCAATCATATATTTGTACACAGGTAGATAGGGTGGACAGATAGCAGGGAGATAGATAACTGATTTTTATATAGATAGATAGATAGTGATGATTTAGTTCTTTGTTTCTCGAGGTATTTGGCCTTTTAGTATTTCACTAAATCAATTCTTTATGAGTCCCATGTGACCATCACATGTATCGATTTTCGCATCCTTTACTGATTTTCCTTCAAATGAAGCATCATTCCTAAGGGAAAATATTTGAAATACGCACACTCAAAGGTATTCATTCAGTTGTAAAAGACGCACAAACGTTCTGCAAATGATTGTCTTACGAGCATTTTTGTGCACGTAAGTGTAACTCAACTTTCTACTTCATTCAAAACTAAACGCTTTTACTATTTTATAATGGCTTAGATGAGGTTTGCTAGAGGTAAATGTGGCATTAGCAAGAACTGAACTGAATTGAGCCAGAAAACAATGTAAAAGCGATGTCAAAGTTTGAAAAGGCTGAGCAACACTGTAGCAGTTGTCATTTGCCCAATACCTATTCCTTATCTTTTGTTTTTTGGACTGCTATTGATAATTGACTGAAGGGTATGTGTCTGCTGATGTGTCGGGTTATATATATCATCTTTATTTGTTTCTGGTATTACTTGAATATTCCTACTTACGGTCAAACATCACAATTTTGAAGTAGTCATTCCATAAATTGACCAGTTTCGCAGCATATAACCTGAGATAATCCTTTTTCCACGCAGCCATTTATAGCTTTTGGATATACATCTTGGAAATGTTTGCGTGAGAAAAATACCAACTCTTCAATTATTATTAATCCCATGGATCAAACACTCGTTTTATGCCTTCATATTTTATTATTTTGAGAACAAAAAATAAATGCCTGCCTAGAAATTCTTTAATAACTTTATATCAGAAAGTGATCTGTGCTTAAAGTGAAGTGAATCTGGTGATTTCCAATACTTCCTGAAACAATACAGTAAGTACTGTATGGTGATAATAGCGATAGGAATTTTCAAAATAGCAGTGCATTGACGAGAATGCTGCAATTACAATAGAAGAAAGGAGTGGAAACTGAATGAAATGCAAAATAAAGCAACGAAAATTGGCAGCAAACGAACAATAAAGAAAAAAGTATACCTAAAGTGATGTCTGCTTTCGTTTGTTGAGTTAAGAACAAACAAAATTTGAATTAGAATGGTTACGAGAAAACAAAAATGGTTTTGCATTATTACTGTAAATTGGGGTCATCAAACGATTGTTCTTACTACAAATGAGGGAAAATAGTTGTTAAATGTGTAAGAGAGTAATAAAGTTTACTGGTCAGCAAATATAAGTTAAAGTTATTGCTTATAAAATTTGTGCAAATTACAATTGCATTACTTCTTGCAGACATTCGTGATAGTCGCTTTTTACAAACTTTCAAAGAATGCTTTCATTTGCAAAGACAAATATTTGAATGAAACATTGTTAAACGATGATCGAAGATTACTGCTGTTAGTATTTTCTAGCAAAGATTTTAAAAAATCAAAGATTGCATGCATCTGCAAAGTAAGCTTACTTTCCCTAAATTCTGCATGAAATCAATCTAATCTGATTGTAATCATTCAATTTTTCATTCATTTACAGTCATTTCAATTCATAATCACTCATTTTTTTCGCACACTAAAGTATTTTTACGCTGGTTTTACTGTATTCATCAGAGTATATTATACTATAATTCCCTAATAATTTTGACTTGCTTTAATTTTTGCTGGCGAAAAGGTATTATTTCTCATTTGCTATTCACTTAAGATTATATTATTCATTAATAGTAATGAAATCTTTCACATCAAAATTAGTTCTGCTATACATTGTATTTAGATAACTTTTTTAGTGATTAAAAAAATTAGTAAAAAAATTTTGGCTTATGCAAGAATGAACAATAAATGTTGTAGCTCAATGACAAGCTTTATTATTCTATAGGCACGTGGCAATGCTGAAATGGAAATTAAAATAATAATGTATCAGTTTTTGTAGACAATTTCCAGATGTTCTTATTGTGTATAGTTAGTTGATAAAGAAAAGCAGGAAAAAAGGTTGTTTGAGAAGGGAATAATATTTGCTTATACACATCTGATAAACATTCAGCTATGTATTTCAATGTTGTTTCATTTTATTTTTGTTACTTTTTATCTTCATAGAAACGATAAATTTGGAACCTTTTTACTGCTCTTAATGAGATTTTATTTTTGCTATTTCTCTTCAGTTGTTTATCGTTACTCAATCGCTTACACTGTTATCCATAAATTTTATTCCTATCATTACCTGGATTCTGTTTATTACTATTATTGAGTATTTCTATCTTTTTTTTCCTCTTCTATCTTATTATAATCACTTTTTGCGTATTATTTGTCAACATTTCCATCGCTAAACCCACTAATAGTTAGTAGTAATTAGTTGCAAAAAAACAAACAAACAAAGAGTATACTTTTTCAAATGAGAATTAATAGCAAATGGGAATTCATTAATTAATTTAGTAACAAGAAATAACTGATAAATTGTAAAAGAAAATTTTGTTTAACTTATGCTTCTTTTTTGATTTATTTCTACTAACTTGATAATTTTCTTCTTTGATCAACTGCTCTTCAGCGTACTATTTTTTTTTATTTTCAAAGTTATAAATAAATACTAAAGTAATCTTATACTAATACAAAATTACGGAAGAAAAATTAAGAAAGCTATTTTTTGCTTTCTTTCAATTACATTTCTAACACAGTTTCCTTCGTCTATTTTCTACCTTTTGCAATAATTGAATGCACGGAAAACCCTAAGAATTTTCTAGTTGCTTGTATTTTATATTTATTTATTTTATTGGTCAAAATTAATGTGACCTGAGCGGCAAAAACGATTTGCTGTAAAATGCATACCATAGCAAATGATTGGAGTGATTGACTGAGTGGCGTGCAGAAAAAGATAGAAGAAAAAAGCTCATTTTAAACGAGAAAAAAGCATAATCAATAATAATTGTCTGATTTTTTAGTTTTCAAATTTACAGTTTCGTTTTTATTGTTTGCATATTGAAAGGAATGTATCACTGATAGCAAATGAAATAAATATTTATTAGCCTCAAAATTTAGGCAATAAATTTAAGACATAATAATAAGCATTCTTTGAAAACAGGAACAAAACCATGTTGCATTGCTTGATGATTGATTGCCTTAGAAAATTTTGGGTAAAGGTTGAATAAAGGTCAATTTAAAAAGGACGACTGTGTTACTTATTTTCATCACGCACAGCAATACACTTCAACATTGAAACAAAAACAAAAAAACTGTAAATTCAAAAATAAAGAAGGAAACTGTAAATTTATAAATTAATTTTTGTTAATTGATCGTTAAAAAATAATGCTTCAAAGGAATCGCTTCTCAGAAATCTGCAAATATGTTCTATAAATTTTGAGTGTGTTCTTGGCTGTGCATAAATTACTCATCAATTCTGCAAGATCTGAGAATTCATTGTCTACTCTGTTTAATCCTGCCATGAAAGACATAGTTTCCTAGTTTCCTTCACATCAATTTCGCTCCTCTTTTATTTTCAATAAAGCAGAAGCACCGCACCAAAATGAGGAGCTGCACACCCTTCATACTCAAATTCTTCACCAAAATCAGTAATTTATCTATATCTCATTTACAATTACCTTAAATTGTATTACTAATAAGTAATTTTAAATTTAATGATTGATTCTAAATTGATTAAAAAAATTTGTCTGGTCAAAATCGTGGCAACATACATACAATCAATAATGATATCATTCAAATGATTAAAATCTGATTTTTTGACATTTTAAATTTCTATTTCCAGAGATCGAGAAATATAGATGATAAGGAAAGAGGTTCTGGCAAAAGCTGAAGCATAGTTTTGGGCTATATAAGTACATTTTTCTTCGAATTTCATTTATTGACTTCAAACAGAATTTTCATCCTTTCTATCAATCATCTTGGAAATTATGTTTTCTTCTTGATTTCAAACAGTGGAGGCAAAATATCGTGTAATTTTTTCGTAATTTCGTTCTTTCTCTAGACATGAATACAAATTTACGTAAAAATTTTTGATTTAATGTAGTGAATTTGATTAAATATTTGCACAGTTTTTAATAATGTAAAAACAATATTGTAAGAAGTAAATAGCTGAAGATTAGCAATGTATGAAAGCCATTTTCAAAAGTTTTTGATTAAGTTTTAAATTAAAATTTTGATTTTGATTTAAAAATATGAATTGTACATTACAGTGCTGACTTTAATTATATATATATATATATGGACTTCTTGTGTATTGTGTAAAGCTATCCACAATTTTGCAAAACGAATTTTTATTTCGCATCACTCGTTCTGCTTTCAAAAAATCTTTACTTCAGACCACATCTGTTGTATATTAGAGTGATATTTTAAAAACGAACTCATTAAAATAATTTATTTCATCTTAATTATTATTTTTTAAAAAAAAGGACATAATTGACAAATCACGTATTGGGCTACTCCAAACAATACAATATCTGTAGTGCAAATTTGAATCATGAGTTTCTGTTGAAGAAAGAATATGTGAAATTGTATTGGTTTATAAGAGCATAAATACTGCTCTAATTAACATCGTTAAACAATTAAACAAATCACAGAACAATGCATATTACTAAAACATTGATATTCATAATTATTGAAAAAATTTCCTTTGACCTTTATGCTATTATTAAAAGCTTTAAGTATTCTAAATTAGGTCATGAGAAAACAAGCGAATGTAGTTTGGAAAACTGCAATATTCTGGAAGCATCAAGTAAACATTTTTCATCTATTCATAAAATTGATTCTTTTTTCCGCTACATAAAAGTAGTTCAGTAATAACTGTAGAACTAAAAATGTTCAGTAATTATTGTAGAACTAGAGATACAAACAATTTTTACGTTAATTTTTGAATTGTTTAGTTCATTTGGTCTTGCATTAATTATTAGATGGATCTGAAACTTTTTGTCTTGCAAATACGAGAAAGACAATAATAATAATAATAATAATAATAATAATAATAATAAGACAAATAATGACTACTATTTCATATGTCCTTTTCTGTATGGAGCAGTCAATTTTCTGCCATTACTTATAAAACAGTAATGCTTGATCAGAATTGTTTCTTGCCTAAAAAAACAATTTAATCAAGCTGACAAATGAATTCAGTACTTTACTAGCACAACAAAATAGTACGCAAGACTTGACAAAGTACTTTTTTTGTGCAAAAATGATGAAGTTTTTTTTTTGAGTTTGTAGATTTATTGCACAACATGCCGCACACAATCTGTATCTATTTTATTTATCAGCATGAATTTTAAGATTGAAATCTATGACATTTCAAATACATATTTTTCATGATTTTTGAAGCAATCTACTTTTGTTATTACTAAAAATACAAATAATATTTATAATATTGTGAGTAAGAGAAAGCCTTAAAATATATCGAATTAAGTTTGCAGCAAGCCATCCATTCATTTAAGGTAACCTTTTTAAATTAATGTTTTCATTTCAATAAGCTATTTTTACTCTTTTTTTCCCTCAAAATCTGCAAAGTATTCTAATATACATGCTAATTATTAGCATATTTTCAATATTCATACATTGCTCTGCTTAACATAGTTTCATTATGCCATGTTTAATATTTGATACATTTAAGAAAAGAAAATATTGAAAGTTCTGGCTGTAAATTTGCTGGATTGCTGGAATATATTATTAAAATATTATCAAGTACTTATTTATCATGCAATCACTTCCTTCTTATTTTGAACAAACTATAATTAATATAAAACATATATTCCGTTTTTTTTTTCAGATATTATTTCTTTTAATTCATAGTATAACTTTTATGCGGAGGAAAATGAAAAACCTGATGAAGAGTAATCAAAAATGGACAGCACTGATAACGCAATAAAATTATACGTCTCGTACACCATGTTATCTTATCAAATAGTCTCAGATTATTTTGATTATCAATTAGTTTTTATCATTACTAAGAATTGAATTGATGATTTTTCTGTCCTCGTTTTTTACTTCAGAAAGTAGTAACACATTAGTAAACTGTTTGAATCTGAAAAAGATTTCCTCGTTTTTGACTCATTCATCGGTATATTTTTGCTCCATTTCTACTTCATAAGAACAAGCAATTTATTACTTCCTTTAATTATTATTCTTATTTAATAATCAAATGTGTTTGCAACAGTTTTTTTCATTTAAGGATGGAAAGCAATCATATTTATGCATTCCTATTTTTTTATTCATATTATAAATATCAAAAAATAATAATTAATAGTTTATTTTCAACCTAAAAATTTATGCCTTTCTATTTAACTGAGTACTATAAAATTTAATGATCTTGATTTCATTAATGAAATTAATGAATTCTTGATGAATGAAGTAAAATGAGGTTGTAATTGCTTTTTGAGTAATGTGTTAATACTACTTCTATTAATAATAGAGTTAAAAAGAGTAATTAAGATATTTTAAAGTAATTTATTGAAAGGTATATTCATTTTCGTTTATAGTTTGTTAAACAGTGTTGAACTATTTTTTACATAACTTTAAGACTGATAATCGTTAATCTAGTTTTATTTTCATTGCAACAAATCATATTTGAGTCTATTTTTATTGTTACAGAAATTCTAAAAGATTATAAAAGTTGAATAACGTGTAAGATTAAGTATGAAGATAAAAATAAAAGTTTATTCATTTATTTTAAATTGTGATAAAATCAACGCTGGGAAAGTAAAAAGCCTCCTTCATTGTTATACGCTATTGTTTTATTTTTTTTCTTCACTAAAATTTTGTGATATGAAATTTTTCAAATTCTTGACACTTTTAATTTTTTTTTCCTTGTTAAAATCATTCAAATAAGCACAAAAATTAAAAATAAAACTTTATTACTTATTACAACGTGTTATAGAAGTATTGCAAATTATTTATACAATTAAAAAATGGCTGATAAAAGTTAGCATTCAATGGACAAAAATAGGTAAGTAAATAAATCAAATTTAAATGTCAGTAAAAAAAATTTTTAAAGTACGATGATTTATTACAAAGTATTGCAATAATAATAAAAACTAAGACGTAATGAAATGAAATGAAATTAAATTAAATTAAATTAAATAATAGTGTTAACACAAATTTAAGTAGCTTCATGTTTAAGTTTTTCAATATGTTTTCGTGTGAACTCTGCATCTTGCAAAATTAATGTACACATAGTATTATCTATGACTAATTTTGGTATATCAGGACCTTTGAAATCCACGCACATTACATAATCTACAATAGTTTTTGTAGAATCTCGAGGGAAAATTCGGAATCTTCCTCCACCAAGAACAAGATGTCCACTGAAATTAAGCATAAATCTAATTGCTATGGTAATGAAATTAATTAAATATTTATTCATATTAATAAAAACAATAATAATTTTTTTTACATGTGAATTTTGATAATAAATTAAAATAAATTTATAATTGAATTTTAAATAATATTAATATGCAAGCAATTACTTACTGATGTCATTAGTATACGTTAAAATTTTTGTCAAAAAAAAATTGGAAGTTTCAGTTCAGTGTTACATATTTAAAATGAAACCGTATTTTCTGAGAATTCCTCATTACATCAGGGCAATCAAAACTTCTTGCCGCTTCAATTATCTCATCTCCAACCCGACGAAATGTTCGGCAAACTAAAAATTCTCGACCTTTGATCGTTGCAATATCTTTCATTGCATACTAAAATTTTATCAATAAGAATATAATTGATAGGAAAAATGAAATGAGTGTAATTTTATTATAATTTATAATTAATCAAATCTACAAAAAATTTTTTGTGTTACAATCAATCATTTTTATTAAGTAATAAATTATTCATCCATCAAAAACAAGCATATTTTATTAATAATTTTAAATATTAAATTAACTTGAAATTAAAAAAAAATAACTATACATAAACAATATTTGTATTTGTTGGTATATCAGCAATCATTTCTACTTTTGAGATGTTTTTATTGAAGTTGATAATATCTACAAAATTTTCCCAATGTTCTGCGAAAACTTGTTGAAGAGGAAAATCAAATACTGTCTAAAAATAAGCATGAAAAATGAAAAATGAAAAAAAAGAATAACATTGTAAAGTTATTTCATAAAATAAAATTTGTTTAAAAAATTCAAACTAAATGAAGGGATTTATTTCGTATAATAAAAAATATTTTTATTTTATTCAAAAAAATTTCAACATACGTTCAGACTTTTATTGTCATAATTTTTTGTTTTATTTTTGCTTTAAATTACAAAATGTAAAAGTTTTAAATTTATGTGAATAACATCAAAAATTTACTCTCATAGTGTATACTTTTCCCATAGTATAACGTTTTGAGTAAACAACATCATTTTTGTTGGAAATTTTTTGCTTCCAGCCTTCACGATCTTCAAAATCAGGCATACTTACCAATTCCATTAATATACGTAACGATTCGTTAACTTGTTGCACACCATGTGCATACTACAAATTTTGCATTACAACAAGAATGAGCAAATTACTTAACATATTCTTCATGTACCACAAAAATTTATTGCTGTATAATAATTTATACCATTTTAATTTTATTACTAAAATACAAGAATGAATAATAAATTTGTTTCAAATAATAGATTAATTAAAAACCTTTTCGATGTCATTCTGATTAATTATAGAAATATTTGAAGAATTTGTAATTGGTGCCATTGATTATTTATTTATTTTGAATGTTCTGAGCGGAGATTTTATTCAGTTTATTGCTATAATAAATACGAATCAAACATTTTCAACGTATGATAAATTTCACTCATTAAAAATGTTACTCACAAATGGTATGACAGACTTTTATTAAGTTTTTAAACTATGTTTTTTTACAAATATTCAACAAAAAAAACAATCAAAATCAAAAAATTATAATTTTGTATAATACGGAAAGACATATAGATCAAGTTTATAATTAAATCAAACAATGTGTAATATTATAGGCTTACATCTTTTTTTATGAAAAAAAATTAAACAAAAGAACAAATTTTCAATTTCACTAGCTTATATGAATACATTTAAAATAATTTTGATTATCACATTATAAAAATGAAAATAATATCTCTCAAAATTACCTTTTACAAACAGCAAGTTACTGATGTGAAAGAATAATTTAAAAATGCTTGTTCTGAGCATTTTTAAACTGTAATCAAAATTATTTTAAATGTATTCATAGAAAAAATAATTGTTAAAACTTAAAAATTGAATTTGCAAAAAATTTATGAAAATTATTTTTAAATTAAAATCACAATTTTAGCTAATATAACTCAGAGACTTTAAAAATTGCATTTTCAATTTGCTCATGGAGAGTGAGATTATCACCAAGATTTTTTCTACGCTTAATTATAATTTTCTTATTCATTTCAAACTTATTTTACATTAAGGACTTTAATGCCAAAATAAGAATTTAGAACGATTAGTGAGTTAAATCACGGAAACAACACCTTATAGCACTAATAATATAATTAAAAATAAAACAATTTCACACGTAATTGAAAGCTTGTTTCAGCATCAGATTAATATATAATTATAGAAATTTATCCCAAAGCATATCTTCAGAAATAGTTAATATTTGAAATAACATAATCAGTAAATAAATGGAGTGTATTGAGCAAATAAATGTTGAGAAATTTGAAGCTTTTTTTGCCAAATAATAATTTATAAATTGTATTAAAGATATTTTTGAAACAAACAGAAATTATACACAAAGGTGATTTTTCGTTCTGATCTCAGTGGCAGAAGCCTTAATCAGCTCTGATCAAAAATGCTTGCAAGGCACTAAAAACGATTGTTTTTTTTAATTTGTGACTGAAAAGTAAGATTAATTCTCAATTAAGAGTTAAAATGAACCTTTAAATGAAAATAAAAATTTTTGTTAACAAATTAAAATGTTTAAAATAATAATAATTGAGCATATAGAAAGAAAATGATGAAAAAAGTTCATTGGGTAATGTTTGCCTGTATTCTTTATGCATTCAACAGCAAGATTATTATAATTAATATTGAATAAAATTAGAATATAATATTTTTGCATTATAATAAATATTAATCAAAAGTAATGAGAAAGAAGATTGAATGAGAGATGTATATGCAATATTTGAATATAAACGCATAATGTCTATATTCTTCAGTTCAGCTCATCATCAAGATTGCCATTGTCACCAGCACCATAAACTAATTATATTTAATAATGTAAACCAGTTTACTTTTTAGCTCATCCATTACTGATAATAAATATAATACTATCATTTTAAAATCAATTTACGGCTATTTAAATGTCTCACTGATCCAATCAATAAAACGGAACATAATAATACTAAAATACTTGTTAATTACTTTAAGCTATCCAAATTATTAAATCTTTGTTTTTTCTTATTATCAGTAAAAAATATGCAATTATCACTCAAAAATGTTAATAAAACTGAATAAATTGGCATAGTCTTTGCTTTGAGAAGAAAAAGAAACAGAAAGAGAAACGAAAATTCATTTTTATTTTAAGCAATGGTTTTAAGTATCAAACTTGATTATTTTTCGTCTATCAAAAATTAATTTTGTTTAAATATTCTTTTTTCGTTGAATATTTCATTGTAATTTGCATGTGCTATAGAATGATCACTTTTATTCTTTAAAATGCAACAAAATGAGATCAAAGGAATGAATAAAATTAAAACTCGTTTTTAGAACAATAAGTAGTAATTAAATTTTTGTAATTGAGTGATTTCCATGAAAGTATGCAAAAGTAATGCAAAATGTAAGTTTTTTTCATTGCATCACTTTTTTGATAGATAGTATTGCATTACAATATTGTATCGTCTTGTATTCATTCATGCAGTCATTCATAATTTGGCATTACACTAAGAAATAAATTATAATAATTTTTGAAAAATAAGAATAAATATATTAATTAAAGTCAATATTTTTTTTTTAATTAAAATTTAGAGCTGATTTTAGTTACTGTAATTGAATTTCTTTGCAGCTTAAAATTATAACTAGATCACAATTCATGAATATAATACAAAAAGTAATGCTTAATGCGAGCATTGCAGATGCACATTATTAGGAAGCAATTTCTGTAAAGTGATCAGTTTAATATCATTTGAAAGTGAATTATACTTTTACTATAATGATTATTAATGAAATGCTAATTTTCATTTAAGAACATAACAGATAATATTAAATATAACATTCCATTAAAAATTATAATAACTATTTCATTATCCATACTGTAAAAGAATTTGGAATCATTGTGTATTGTGTTATTTAATAATAATTACAATTCAACGAACTGCTAAGACTGAAAAATAACTTTGATAAATGAAATACTGTATTAATAATAAGCGCGTTAAATTTTAATTAAAATTATATTCTCATAAATAAAAGTTGCAGAAATGTGAAAAAATGTAGTCAGATTGAATAAAAATTATTTTCATTCAAAGAAAATTATTGAAAGTAAATTTAAATAGTTTTTAATTATAAATAGAATTCCAGAAATACAAATATAAAGCATAAAAAACAAATATAAGTACATTTAGCATAAAATTACTCCTTTAATTATTATTCAATTTTTTGCAATACAGTAAAAGAAAGTTTGATTACAAATAAAGCGTATAGCAATAAGTGATGAAAGTAATAAATATAGGATAATTACTAATATGAAGATAACACAAAAGATAACTGATCCGAAATTTTTAAAATTTAAAAAATTTTTGATAATTAACTTATTTTTGATTTTTTAATACTTAACTTTTTATTTTTTAATAGTACAAAAAGTAATGCTTAATACGAGCGTTATTCTTACAAATTATTGCCAATCAATTTTTCGAAAATAATAATAATAATTGTATTATGATTTTAGGAAGTTTTAAGTTATTATGATTAATAGAAAAACTAGTAAACTTAAGTTTAAAATATAAGTAATTATATTTTGCTACTTTGTATTTTATCATTCATCTTATTTTATTAGCATAAAAAATTGTAACCAAATGAAATTAAATAACAAATATTTTATGAAAAGGTTAGGACTTGGAACTGATTTTGACCAGTTAATTGTATATTATCGAATAAGTAAAAAATATTTTATTTCGCTGTTTTTTGTCTTTGATAACAAATAATACATTAAAATTGATACTTTTTGATATTTATTATTATTATTATTATTTTGTTACGTCTTCAATAGCATTAGACGTAATAGTGTGTTTGTGCAAGAAGCAGTGAAATGTAATCATTTACTGTTTTTTGATAAGACAAGTAACTTGTCAAGTTTTTTGCTTCTATTTTACGTGAACTGATAATGCTTATTGAAATTCAGTGTTTTCTTCAAAGCTTTTTTAAATTTTTGTTGAAAGAATTCTTTGCAGAAAAAATATTTTCAAGTTTTAAAAAGAAAACTTTCTTACAAAAGAAAAGAAACTTTTATGAAAACTGACAGTACTTCTTTTTTTTTGATAAATATTTTTGTACAAATTTTTTAAATTCTTTAAAAAAATTGTCAAAAATAAATGAAAAGTATGACATAGCTATAACTTTTCAAAAGCTGTTCGAAATCAAATAAATGGCTGCGAACAAATTTATTTTTTGTTTATTTATAAATTGATAAAAACTAAAAAATTATTTATTTAATTATAAAGCAGTTGTGATCCCTTAAGATTAATTAATTTTTGCACTCTTTTTATTTTTAAAATAAAAACTATGTTTGTTCAAGTTTGCACTTGTTATAAATAATAAAGTAATGTAAAAAAATTTGCTGCCTAAAAGTTGGATTAAAAATTTAGTGCTTTTTGCCTGTAAAATAACAATAAGTTTATTCTACAATAATTTATCCCATGATGACTTTAGTACAAATATATATAGAACAAAAAAGTAAAAATAATGATAAAATATCACAAATGATTATCATATTTGATTAAAGCAATAAATACTAAGCAAAAAATAATTTGAGGGAACTGTATGTATGTATTATTTGGGTCATATATGAGGCCAAAGTGATTTTTTTAATCCAAAAATATTCTGAGAGACTAATTTATATTTGTTATTCCTTGTGATTATAATCTGTCTCTAATCGACATTTCTCATCCAACTGCACCAAAGACCAAGCCTGAGTTGCAGATTGTCGCTTTGACCTTTGATTCCGAATTGATGCAATGCTAAATAGTGTTGACATCTGAGTGAAAGAACGATTCATTGGATTGGAATAATGCAAATTTGTCTGTCGAAAGGTACACTTGCCGCACCAATTTTTAACCATTTCAAAGAGCTTTCTTCTGAATTATCACTTAATAGTTATCTTCTTGTAAATGGTAATTTCGTGTCATTATTATTAGCCTGTTTAATCATTAATAAAATTAGTAATAAAATACTATATCACTTTATACATATTTAAATTATTTTTAATTCTTAAAAATTAATTATTCATATAAATTTATTGTATTTAATTATAAACAATAAAAAATTAGAGTAAATTTTTAACTTCAGCAAATTTTAAAGTAACCAAAAATTAAATTTGAAAATAATATTTATAATAATTTGATTATGAATATATGACAATAATATGTAATAAAATATATAATTAAAATTGTAATCATTACCTAAACGTGACACTCGTCAAACAAAATAACACAACATTTAGCATTTTTCCAGTAATTACTAGAAAATTAGTTATGCAAGAAACTTTAGCAAATGTTTCTGTTTTAGCATCACTGACAAGTTTTTCATATAGAAATAATATTGCTGATGGTAATTGGCTTATGGTAAAGCATGAAACAATTGCTGCTACGGTTACTGTCATTTTTCGTTCTTGATCATGAAAGTTAGTAGAAGCTGATGGACCAAATGATTCTTCTGCTCCAGCCTAAAAATTAAAACACTATAAATCAATAAATAAAAATTTTGATAAATACCATAGAATTAATTAATTTATGACATTGAAATTCTGCTAGAAACAAAAGTATTTTCAAAAAAAAAAAAAATGAAAAACAACAATCAAAAAAAAAAAATGCCAAAAATTGTGTTTTATGCAAATTTTTTTCATTTTAAATGCATGAAATACAATTTTGAAGCGAATTTTAAGATCAAACTTATTGTTTTAATAAAATGTAACCGATTAGTAAATAGCAGTAAGCTTTTGTTAAAATTTTTATTCTTGACTTTCATTGCTTTTCACTATTAATAGTAATTGAATAAGAAAGATTGTGAAGTATAGTTTACAAGAAGTAATAGAAAATATACAATTTTCATCTTTTTTTTTCCTCTTGCTTTTGATTATTCAGTAATGACAATAAAAAATTTGAAAATAAATTAAATATTTAAAAGTTTTTTGATCAAATTAAATATTGCTTATCATTTATGGCAATAATTTTAATTAATCATTTAAGCCATTTTATCGCACAGTAAGCCAAGCAAATTAAATGATTTCAAAGCAGAATATAGTATTATTTGTTTATTGCATAATAAATTTGTTAATAATTATTAAAAAATTTTTTTGATTCAACTATTAATGTTTTTTGATACTTGTTGAGTTCGTATTCGTAGTAATCGAATTAATGATACATTGAGAAAAGCAACGATAAATACAGGAATTATAACACCAATAAGGGCATTAGCGATGGCACTTGTATTGATGTATGAAACAAATGTGTCTGATGGTTGTTCGTATGGTACTAAACCAAATGCAGTCCAATTCCACGTTATTGATAAACATTTCACGTATACTTGAGTCATATTGCATACCCATAATGTAGCACAGCGGTATGAAAAATGATGATAACTGCAAACAAGTAATTATTACATATTTATTATTTCTTAATTACAATTATTTTATTAATGTATTTAAAAATTTTTAATTATTTTTTTGACGAAAAAAAAAAGTTGATAAGTTACAAATTTTAGCTTAAACTGAAGTAATAAAAATTTCAAAATTACTGATTATTGCTTTTTAATTCAAAGAGGATAAATACTGCTGACAATACATATCAAAATTCTAAATTTTATACTACTAATTCTCAATCGCTTTTCTTTACTTCATCAATCAAAAATATATTCATTAGTCAGGAATAGATATCAATTTTATTATCAAACTCCAAGTACTAGTGATAACCTTGTAAGTATGAAAGTGACTAGCAATATTACTGATGTAATTATAAATGATTCTACTACCTGAAAATAATAAATAACATTTTATATACAGTCAAAAACTAAAACTATATTATGCTAAAATAACAATTTTATACACTATTTTTGAATGTAAGCAATTTTTTTTTCAATATAATGTTGCTAATTTTTAGCAGAAATGATGCAAGCATTTGATTTGCATTTGAAACAATTTTTATTGCATAAATATGTAAAAATTTATCCTAAGTAATTTTTTAAATAATTCCAAAATATGTAAAATGAATTATCGCTTGTAGATGCCTCACATGATATTGTTTTAATGACCTGAACGGAAATTTAATTACTAGTAATCGCTCAACAGAAACTGCTAGTACAATCCTGCAATATACAACTTTTAGTACTGAAATAAAATTTACACAACATATAAACAAAAATTATAAATTTAAAAAAAGTAATGTAATAGCTTTTGAAATTTTGATATTACTCACAACATTAATAATAATGATAATATTAAGTGAAAAATTTTTAAATAAAATTGGATAACATTTTGGGTACAAAGCAAACCAAATCGCAGCACATGAAAACCAGTTAGCAAACGCGGCAAAATGTGGTTTTGCATTTGCGAAGATAATACGAAATTTTGAACTTTCATAAAATATTTGAAATGCTGATAAGCTGGTAGGTAGCATGAAAATGAATACAGCTATATCAGCTAATGCCAGTGCTGCCAGCAAATGATTTGCCCTAAGGTTATTTGATAAATTTAGAGCAAAAATTTTGCACGATTTAATAACTGTAATATTTTGTGTTAAAAAGTATGCTTTTTTTTAGAATTTGTGTGTTTTTATTTCATTGTTACACGGTATTCTACAGTGCTGTTGCAGTAATCAAATTTAATAATTTATTATTAATTAAAAAAGGAAAAATTTTCTCTCTGAAAACATTTTACTTACCTATTACGCATATTAGCACTGAGTAATACAAATAATGTTAGTATATTGCCAATTATTGTTACAGCGAATTGAACTGGAAATGTTGTCTGGAATAATGCATAAATAAATAAAATTGAAAAAAAAAATCATTCAGTACAGTAATTAGATTAAATGAAAATAAGTACAGTAAACATTTATTCTAAAATTTGTGTCTTAATATTAAAGATATTTATTTATGAAATTGAAAATAGTAACTTTTGACAACTTGAAAAATATCATGAAGCTCTATTAATATCTAGTTATGATAAAATTTGATTTATTAAGATTAAACTAAAAGATTAAAATAAATTTGAATTATCCATTAGTCATTATTAATGTGTAGTGCAAATTATAACGATGAATCAGATTTATCATAACCTTCAAAGAAGTACTGAAATAAAATTACTGACTTTATATGAATTGATCAAATTTTTTTGCAGTAATATTTTCAAAATAGAATGTAAAATTTATCAGTTCACACTTTTAAAAAAAAAGATTTTCAAGAAGGAAACTGTTTAAAGTATTAATTGTTATTCAAGAGACCTATTTATCAGCATCCACATATGATAAGCAGTTAACTAATGATAATATTGAATTCCTGAGTGATATCAATTTTTATGAGTGATTTAATTTTATTTATATGATTTCAAATCAGTATAAAAACTTAAAAACTTTGTGATTTAAATCTATAAAATATGCAGTGAAACGAATTGTACAAAGTGGCTCTAAACTTTTCAGTCGTTTTTTTCAAAAGGGTAAATCAGAAATTTTTCTGCCATATATAAGCTAAATAACACATATTTTCTTTTTATTTTTTAATGAAGCATAATTTCATGTTATTGATTACTGTTCCTTGAAGCTGAAAAAATCTTTGAGAGAAAATTTTCAAATTCAAATATCTTTTGGGAATATGAAGATTTATTGAGAAGTCGTTATTTGCCTCTTTTTGTGAAGCTCAACGCATAATAATAAATGCTTGCAATATTTCAAGAATGAATGCAGAAGCATAAAAGAATACTGTCTACTTTTATACTTAGTGACATGTAAAATAAGCTTTTGATAGATAAAAAATATTTGTAGATTTGTTTTAAATTGCACTACTAATTCGATATCATCATAAAGTACTGTATTATTAAGATTACAAAATTGTTTTCCATTAAGCTGCTACTGTCAAAGTAAAAAACAAAAAATCTGAGAAGCTTATTTAAGACTGATTATTTTAGAGCACTTATAGTTTTGAATTTTTTTAATAATTTCTTTTATTTTTCGTATGAATAAAAAAATCTGATATTTGCAAGAATTCAATAAATAGAAATTATACACTGCCTGTTTATTCTTGAATTTTTTATTATAAGAATTCTTTTCATTTCTTATTGGATAAATCTTTGTAATTACATTTAACATATTGTGTAGATAAATGACTAAAAATTAATTATTGCAAGTTGAGTAGTGAATTAATGAATATATTAAGGCTATACATGAAATGGCAAATAATTCGGTGATAATTTGTTTAAAATTAAGACGCGTCAATTATTATAGTTAGCTTAGCCAATCTTCTCGTACGAGATCACTTCACAACTTATCAATGAAATTAATTATGTCTTCAAATATGATAATTAAATTAATGACATTTATTCATTGTTTTGCAATTTAAATTTGTAAATGTAAAAAGTGCTTTGCATACATTTAAAAAACTCAAAATTTGCATATTATTTGTGACAAAACTTGTCAGAAGTACTAAATATTAAAATATATATAACAGTACTTCACTCGATTAAACATTGAAAATGCTCAAATGTTAAATAGAAGACTATTTTTTCACATAAAATTTATCATAAATCGACACAAAACCAAACAAATTAGTAAGTACTACAGAAAAACAATTTTATAGTTATAGTTATCAGTTCAGTTATCTATCATTTTTGAATTACTCATTCATGTTAAAATTCTTATATATGCTATCAAAATTTTTTCCAATTTTATCTATAAATTGCACAATTTTGTCACCCAAAATGACTGAGAATTCAATCCAGAATTTACAAAATACTATGAAATTAAACTACTTCAGAAGCTACAAATATTTGCAGATGGCGCTTCCCATGAAGCCTTGGTAGAAAAAAACTCTTAAATATATTATGATGGTTACAAAAATTTTTGTTGATAGCGTATTTAACGTTAATAATTAATTTTACGTAAACAGTTTGGTCCAATCTTGAAATTGGTTGCTAATAAATATTTTATGCATATTTTACGATAAAAAATATATGTAATGAATAAGCAATTTAAAAAAAATAATGATCGTTGAAAAGATTTGATATCATGAGCATCTAATTTACAATAATTATGAATTATCACTGAATAACAATCTCAAATATAAATACTTATTAGCAATCATAATTTTCAAATATTAAATTTTAATAGTATAATATTATTACTGTTAATAATTAAACATATTTTCTTATTTAAAGCGATAAAAATTTGACACAAAAAAGTTGAATTAAAAGCTTATGCAATAAATGATTAAACTATTTTGAGGCTAAATTTCATATTCAAACAATTTTAAAATTATACTTTGACAGAAATGTTAAGAACTTTTAAAATTATAATTCTGATAAATTTATGGGAATTTTTTTTTGACATATTTATTGACATGAAATAGTCTTTTTTACATTTTAGGCAAACAAATAACTGAACAAAATATTCAGTACTTGTCAATAATATCATTTTAAAATAAAAAGTTTTGAGAAAGTAATGGATATTTGCGTGAAATGATATTATATTTTGTAATTTTTTTTTTTGGCTGAAAATAATTTTTTTATTTTACAAACAAATAAAACTCATATTGAAATGAAAAAAACAAAATTCATATTCACCCTTAGGAAGAGATGATTTTTCTATTAATATGAATATATATTGAAATTTAGAGCTTTGAGTTAGTTAGTTAGTTCCAAGCATGCTTTTTTTTTGAGCCAAAATGAGAAAACCTATTTCAGTATATTATATTTATTACTTATTTAACAAAATGCTATGCAATAATGTGAAAAATTAAAGTTTCAAGCAACTTCAAGCATTTAAAATTGCGCATAAAAATGAAAATTACTCAAAAATTTTAGCAAATTAATTCATCTTTATTAAGTAATTATATTTTTTAAGTATGCAATTGTGAATTTGCTATAAATTTTGGCTAATATATTCAGCAGTGCTTGATAAATTTGTAATAAAAGTTAAAATAAACTGATCATTTTGTTTGAATACAAACAACAGAAATTCTTGACTAATAAATTTGTCAAATAAATAATATTTTAATTAACCAAATAAAAAAAATAAATGGACTGTCTTAATTTACTGATACTAATTTTTTGATGGTAAAAATAAATTTACTTTTGTATAAACAAATAAAGCTGTTAAAGCAAATTTAAATGAATTAAACTCATTTTGTTTTTTTTAAAAATTTTATTTTTTCAAAAATTGTGTTCATACTTTTTCTTTTATGCAAATTTAAAATAAAATTTTCTTTTACTTCATAAAAATTTCAATAATATTGATGTTAACAAATGCTTTTGCTAACATTCTTGTTACGATTTTATTAAAAACAATTAAATTTTTTCTTTTTTTGATACCAATTATTTATTAGTGAACAAAATGGATAAGTAAGTATTAAGTAAGATAATATCTGTAATTATCATCTCAATCATTATTAATCTATTACTTCTATTACTTGAATTAAATAGCAGAAAAAAAAAGGTATTACCAATTAAGTATGTCTTAAATTCATGAATTAACTCGTATAAATTATAAAAATAAAAAAAGTGAAAAAATTAAATTAATTGAAAATGAAAAAAATAATGATATATAATAAATTGAATAGCAATAATAATTGGCATATATATATAAATTGCATTTGTTATATACCACCATTTAATTTGGTAGAGTAAAGGAGTGTTAATGTAATGAACAAACCTGATAGAAAAAATTATCAAATGATGAATTCAAAAGTAAACTTTTAAGACATTTCATAAATAATTTCATTTTGTGAATAATATAATACCAGCAATAGAGCACAGAAATAAACTGAAATAAATTGAAGTTAACGACACATACAAAGTTATCAAAATTGTTAAGGGTGGGACTAGTTATTCGAGTAAGCTTTGTTAGCCATTGGCTTTTTATTTTCAGCCTTACCTTTTTCAACTATATCAATGTAGTAGTAATAGTTTTGTGCTAAATTTGATGCTATTGAAATTTAAAATTCAAAAATAAAAGAATATAATTAAAAAAAAACAGTGTAAAAAATTAAAACAAGCAAATTTGTGCAAAAATTTTAAAATACTTAAACAATGTAATACAAAATAAATTAAACAATACTTTTGCATAATTTTATCAATTTTTTTATAATCAAAAATCCAATTGTATTTTTAATAATATAAACTTTATTTTTGATCAATTTTCTTTCAATTACCAATTGATATATTGAATTTGATTAATTGATATATTAAATCTAAAACATTTTTAGACAAAAAAAAAAGACTCATTACTCTTTTTTTTAACCATTAAATTATAATTTTGTCGAAAAGCAAAATGTTTCTAAAATAAACTTTTCGTTTTATACATATCACTTCGGTGATTACTTATAATAAGTTTTATACAATTTTTAGAAAAACGCAAGAAATTATTATGGTAAAATCCGTTTCTAAAGCTTTGCAAGTAATAAACCTTTATGTAAGTAATTTTTTTTAACATTAAAAATTATAAATGACATATTTGTAAAGTCTAAGTAATAAATTCTATTTTTCTTTATGTTTAATTTAAATTGTTTCCATATAGATGTATATATTATCCATGAGAAGCTTTCAATTTAATACTAAAATGATATTAGGGAATTTTATGCAAAAATTACTATTTTTAAAAAGTAGCTTAAAAATGGAGACTTTGAGCATCGACAATGAAATTTAAATATGCTATAGTATGGCACGTAAAATAATTGCAGTTGAATAAGATATCCAGTAGGGAAAAATATTGCATAATTAGATTAGATTATTTAAATTTTATGCTGTTAGCACATTTTTGAATGTATTTTGCAAATATATGCTGCAAACCATTTTGATTTAAAATGCTTATTTATAAACAAATTCAAGAATTATAAAAATTTTAATGCATTTTAATAGTGCTATATTTTGTATAGTTTTTTATGATGGCAATTTATATAATTGAATACTTACTTAATTTAGCGAAAAGAATTGTAAATATCAATGCGTAATTGTAGTTAAATTACTCAATTAATAGACTTTGGTCATCTTTTGTAAATTTAATTTTTGTACACCTGAAATGGTTACAAATCCAATAAATTTTCATTTATAGAAGAAAGCAAATGCTTAAAAACAAATTCTGACTACGACTTTCACTTGAAAATTTTGCATTTGGGACAAATTCAAGCAGTCTGCATAATTTGTTATAGCTAAAATAATATTTTTATATGATTTTTGTATTTTGTTCGCGAATAGATTAATTACAATGATAGCTTATTTTTACTAGTGATTTAAAAAAACGGCAAATATTTGTGATGTGACGAGAAAATAAAAGTTAAAGTTTGAATTCAAAAATCAAACTTCAGTTTCTATTTTTTGAATTGCAGAGTAATACTAAAATTGAATAAAATGATAAAAGATTACTTAAATTGCAAAATGTTTGTGTAAATTATGATATTTCAATATTTGAGTAAAAATTATTTCAGAATGATAAGTGAATAAAAAGTTGTTTACGTTCGTTTTTTATTAATTTTTTTTTAGTTTAAATAGTTCAAAATTTTTTTAATTCAAAATTGTTAAGTGCTGATAGTATTAGATAATAGCTTATTTCAAGAAAATACTACTTTTTTTGAAGATATTTGAAGAGAATTTTGATTTGTATTTGAAAAGTTGCTAAAAAAGTATGCTAATTTTGCTGTTACTTAAAATATTTTTTATCGCTAATTATCAAATTTTTTGTATATTTTGTCGGCCAATTAGTAATAATAACAACAATTTAATTATTTTGATATTATATTGAACTTATTGAAAAGTCTCAAAAATCATAAAATTAAATTTGACACATACATAAAGTATTTATCAAAAAGTGATATAATCACTCAGCAAAAATCCTAAAAATATAAATGCCATTAGTAGAAGCAAAAATTGTGAAATCAACGATGAAATAAATATATTTTAATAAGTTTGGTATAAATCACGCATAAAATTGACGTAGATAATTTCCTGCCATTTGCAAACAAAATTTTTGCATATTTTAAATGAAATAAAGCTTTTAAGAAAACTTTTTACCACCAAAGGTCAAGGTTCAGTTTTGTTGTGTAGCTCACTTTCAATGCACTAATTGCAATTTTGAAAACAACCAATAGTTTTTTTGTAAATTAATATCCCACCATCGTGTTCGATATTGGATCAGTATTAATAATTATTAATTTAAAAAAGTTAATCTATTATTTGTGCACAAAGTTTGAAAAATGAAATTTTCTGATATTCAATTAACAATTACAATATTTATTAGCTTTACTGCTAAGTATAAAATATTAATTTTCCAGTGATTGACTTACGAATATGAATTGAACTTCTCAGATAAAATTTTATGTCAAATGAATGCGTAGCAGTTAGTGAGATTTTTTTAATAACTAAAATTTCAGTATTAAGAGAAATTTTAACTAGCTTGAAAAAACTATTCAGGCTGAGGCTTAGAAGTTATTCATAACTATGCCTCTTTTTGCACAAGTATCTCACTTGACTAGTCCTTATGGATAATAGAAACGCGTAAATTGACTCAATTTTATTTTAAATATAATTTAAGAGTATTAGATCTGTTTAATATCTTTTAATAATTAAACTAAAGCAATCATAAATGTACGATAGTGTACTGAACTGTGCTATATTTATATTTATATTTATATTCATTTTTATCTATTACAATGACAAAAAATTTTTTATTGATCTGAGATATATTTTACAGTAACTAATATTTGAAAAATTTTTGAATTTTATTGTAGAGTTAACAGTGAAAAATTTTTTTTTCAACAATCAAATTTAGCACTTTTGAAACCATTTTGAACCATTAAATACGGTTTTTTACTACTGTAATCACCATTACAGTGATAATTATCAGTCTGTCTTATTAAAATTATTACTCTATATCAATGAATCAAAACTTGTAAATAAAAGCTTTGAAATTAAAGTATAATTTAAGCAAATGTCCAGTCCAGTTTAATGTGTAGAAACTGTGGTTCAAAGCAGATATGTAAGCAACCAAAAGTTTAACTTTAAGTTCAATCTATCATCCACCTCCTAATCAATTTGGATACTAACAAGCAGCAATCAGGCAGCTAAATAAAGTGTGTAACAATGCTTAAATGCTGATGATAATAATCAAAAAGAATATTATCATATCAAAGTAAAAAGGATGCAAGACGATGATGTTAGTTATCGTCCAATTCATGATTCAATACATAATATTATTTCAAGGTTTTTTTTTCTCTCATTTAATTAACTTTTTAGCTAAATAAAAATTATTCATTTAAAACTTTTACAAATTTTTCTCCTTTTTTCTTTTTTTTAAAAAAGTTTAACAGTTCAAAAATAAAATCTAAAATAAAAGCAATTAAGTTTTTAGCATTTGTCATTAATTGAGAAGTATTCATTTTCCTTATTTATTATTGCTTGTAGTTGACATTTTTTCATTTTGTTCGTAAAGCTGAAAAAATAGTTGCTTTTAATCAGCGTAAATTTAGAGCATTGTTTTGAAGCAAATGTAAATGAATTATACTGACAGTATTAATGTCATAAAATAGAATTTCTAGCTTTTTACTACATTTATTGTAAGCAATTAATAAACACTAAAATTGGTTTGCTTTTTTTCTTCAGCTTTTACATATAAATAGCAATTTAATTTTCAGTACTGTCAAAAACAAATGCTTTTAGTTTTTTCAAGTTTAAATTGTACTACAGCATTGTTAATTAATTGCACATTATGTTATAGAAGTATTTTAGATTTGTACACAAATTTGTTATTACATATTATTTATATAATAAGTAAATATTGCAGTTTTATGATTAAATTTAAATCAAATAAATTCTTCATGAATTCAGATTTGAATATGAAGAAGACAAGTTTCTTAGAGAATTGGAAGAATTACAGAAGCAGGTCACTGAAAAGTCATCTTCAACTGAAGAAGTTCCAATACTTGGTAAATTGTACAATTTTTTATGCATTGTTGTTTTTGCTTTTTTTCATCAAATGGTTAATGAAAAAATTTTTCATTTAATAAGCATACAATTTCTATCATTTCCCTTTTATTTTTAAATAATTAATACAAAAAATATAACGTAATGAAGTACTTTTGCTAAAAATAAATTCAGTCAGTTGAATGTATAGATAGCCATTTTTTGTTAACAATTTATAGTTTGTATCACTTTTTTAATTTACAAAATGGCTGAAAATCATTAATTATTATAACAACATGTTCTGTAATCTATCTTACAAAATTGTATTCAATCACATTTATACGTACGCTTTTTCAAGTAATTATCAATTTATCCTTTTGCATTCCTATTTTTCAATTTTAAAAATAGCTGTATTTATTAGTTGAGTTTTATTAAATTTTTATTAGCAAAATTTATTTAAAACATATAATTTGTTTGTAAAATAAATGCTTTTTTTGTACGTTCTTAGAATGAAAGCTAATGATTTTGATGAAAATTTCAAACATTACCAAGTATGCATTTGTGTGACAAATTAATAATACTATAATTCTATTTTCATTTTTTAATTTTATTATTTTGTCATTTATCAAATTTTATGTATATTACAATTTTAGTCTAAATTAGAAAGAAAAAAAATCATATTAAAGGAGCATTATGCAGTTTGGTTGGTGAAATTGGTAAGTTACGTCGAGAAAATAAAGCTCTTCGACATCAGCTCAATTCATCAATAGAATCAAAACGTGGTGTAGTTCATCGGGTAAGCGCGCTTTTAGAAGGTAAGGCAAATATTATTCCCAGATTTATGGGTCAAAGAGCAATTCATCGATATGATGTTCAAACAGGAGCTCGTGAACGATTATCAACACCACCTCATAAAGTAATACTTTTTATTTCTATTCTTGTAAAATTTTAGCTCTAAATGTTAAATGACATTGAAATTATACGATGCTTTTTTTGTTTACAATTAATACTTTGCATAATTTGTTTTAGTAGCATAGAACTTTACACATTTTGATGTCATTTTTTTGATTAAAATATTTTTGAATAAATTTTTACTAAAATATTTCAAAAAATTAGATCAAAAAGTCAAATTAAAAGTTACTTCTAATTCAATTACAAATATTTTTTTAAAAAAAAATTGCCAGCTGATAACGAGAATGAAAAAGTGATAGCTCTGCTTTCCAAACATTCTGCCTTTGCAGCCAGTCATAAATCCATTTAACAAATGATATTTGGAGGTCAAATTCTGTATATCATAAGAATTATTCTTGCTGATTTTTGGTTTTAAAACGAAATAAAGACACATTTAACATAGCTGCTACTACTACTACTACTACTGCTAGTTATTGAGGAGATTTTTTGAAGCAATAAATATATAGTTTAAAATTTTGTCGGGAATTTTATTTAAACTCATTTTTAGTTTAAGCTTTAAGCTCATTTTAAATCATATTTTTTCCTTTTTTCTCAGCTATTAAAATGTGTTAAATTTGATGGTAATAAGCTTCAATGTTGCAACTTACTTTTATCAAATCATATCTTAAGCAGAATCTTCAATAAACTCAGTATAACTCATTAAAACAATTAAATTTGTTATATAATTTGTTTTTTCAGGAAAGTTTGACAACAAGTTCATATTCTACGGATATATCATCAGATTTATCTGACCCAAATCGTTTAACTTTGCTATCAACTACCAAAAACGTTCCACCAACATTAATTTTACCAAAAATGTCGGATTCTGATGTTGAACATTCTATTTTTACTGAAGTAGAATAAATTTTTATCTCATCTTTGGTTATTAGTAAAAAATGAATAAAATACTTTAATTATTTTATTTGCTGAGTACTTAATGCTAAACTAATAATAGTTAATACTAGCTACAAATTTCTAACTTCACTTTATGCTTAAACAAAGCAAAATTAAGTACGTAAAATTGATTACCATCTGATCCTTTAATTCTAAACATATTATCAATAGAAATCAAGCAGGGGTAAAAAAAGCATACGATAGATTTCTAACATAAAAATATTCCTCTGAACAAAATTTAAAATATTTAATTACTTTGATTTTTTTCACTTCTTAAATCATTATTTTTTCAATTTGTAAAAAATTATTTGTTTGGGTTTCATTGCCAAATTATGATGTCGAGGCCAACAATGTAACACGTGAAGGACGTGCGGGAATAAGACGTTCCAAAGTATTATCAGTATTAGAACGAAGAAGTCCTTCATCAGCATCATCGCGTGATCACTCCGAAAATATGAGTAAGATTAACACTAATTGTTAAAAAAGTATTCATTTATATAATTAAATTTTAGTTTTATCATTTCAAAATTAATTCCCTGAATCAAATTTCTAAATTGCATTCAATGATAACAATGGCTATGAAAATAAAGCAGCCAAAAAATATTACTTTGCCAGTAATTGATAATATTAAATAAATTTTTTCATTGATTAACTTTTTAGATTTTTAACTATAAAAAATTTGCATAAATTAAGACTAATAAACTTTTTACGACCATTTTTACTTTTAATATTTTTTCAATGAGAATATTTGAATTTTATTACAAAATTTGATCATTGCAATAAATTTAGCATCAAGTCAATCAAGTTTCTTTGAAATAATTGGATTAACGAAGAAAAAAAAAGAAAAGTCAACAGAAATTAAAAAAGATCGCTTAGGAAGTAAAATAATATTGAAAAAAAGAAAGCGAAAAATCAGTGAAAGTAATTCAGTACAGTCTAGCGAAAATAATGCTAATGATGGTAATTTTCATAATTATTTTTCCTTTTAATTTCATTCAAAAATATGAAATTTAGAATAATAAATAAAAATTATGAAGAATGAATTTAGTTTTATTAATTGATTTTATTCTTTTTCAACTAATTTATAATTTTTATTTTATTAGTTTGCAATTTTTAACATTTCATAAAATGAGTAAAATATTTTACTTTAAAATAAAAGTTTATCAGCAACAACGACAAGTACAAGTAATACAACAAGTAATCGAAACATTTACGTGGAATCAAGTGATGATAATAGACAATCATTTCTTCAAATTCCTAAGCAATATCATTTGCTACGACAAAAAGTAACTAAATTCTATCCAATTCAAATTAAAATATTTATTTTTCTGTTAAAAAGTTAGTAATTGATAAGAGTAAAATTGAAAAATAATATTTAGGAAGAAGAAAGAGCGCAAAAATGTTTGCGCAGTAAAAATTCAACAGCAGTAAGCGAAGAAAATGATGATAGTTATCGTCGTCATTGCTTTAATCGAACTTCTAAAAGTATTGCAGATGCAAAATGTTGTGAGTCAAGACTTCTCTTAAGACCAAATTATTTGTCAAATCGAGAATCATATGGTATCAACTTGAGTACTACTATTATTCTGTTTAAATAAATTCTCACAAATTTTTTTTCTTGAAAAAGTTTATAAAATTCATTGAATATAAATAAGGAAACCTATAAAAATAAGCATTATTTGTATATAAAAATCATAGTCTTAATTTATAATCACTTGCTCAACTTCAGCAAATTCTCTATTATATGTTGAAAAACATTTTGCAACAATAATTTTTTTTTCATATTTAAAAAATAATTAATAATGATAAATTTAGCAAAAAATCGTACAATACAAAGTGAAAATGAAGCAATTCGAACTGAACTAATCAAAATTAGAAATCATAACAGTCAATTATTAGGAGAATTGCGAGAAAA